AGATGAGGTATGAGCATGCCTCCTTTTGATAAAAAATGTAGATTATTTTTTCGGATTGTTTACAAATTAATTTTTTCCCCCTTCATAATATGAACAACCCCCCAATACATACATAGAATGCACATATTTATGTTTATGTTGCATGTAGATATGTAAGGCAAAGTTCAATCCCATACTAGTCATGTTTGCATCAAAATTTACACTTTACTGCTCTTGCAGACTACTATGAAAAGTATGTTTTCCCCCCTTTCACTCAAATGCTCCAGTCACGTAGTGAACCTAGAATACGTCCTGTTAAGACCGAGAAAGAGTACAAGAAAGAAAGTGTACATACTGAAATCTTACCCGAGAAAGAAAACATATTGACCAGTCAAATTGTCCACATTTCCACTTCTCTGAAGCAAAACTAACTGCGGAAGAATTGCCACTGCCTCCAAGTATATCGAAAATGCCCAAAGAACCTGATAATTAGATAATAGATTCACTGGTCAGTGCATCACCATTTTATGAATCTTTAATTCATATTAGAAAGCAGAAGGTCAACAGTTAATTGAGACATGATGCCCCCCTTGAGATTGCTGACAGAAAACACTATAACCATAGGACACCAGCTAAGTTTATGTAGATAAAAAAACAGAAGGGAAACTACTGTGGAAAAAAGGATAGTTTAAACCAGATAAGAACACGCAAACACAAAAGGCAAATATAAAAAGTGCTGCAACCAGAATAGCAATAACAACCATTACCAGAAGGGTAGTGCCCATACGGTATACATGAAAAACATGAAGCAAACTAGAACAGCCAGCGCAACCCACTGTGCAACTTCCCTGGCATATTTGGACATTCCATGATCATAAATGGAAAATTAACATCCGCTTTTTTTGGGTTTTCCTAGTACGAGTCATTTGGACAGTCAGGGAGAAAGACCAAAGACACGCTGTCTTGCATATCTATGTTTCCTTCCAGCTCTTTATAACTGCAATTTTAAACTGAAAACTTGTAATGAGCATTTTTCAGAAGAAATGAACTGAATAGTGTATCAATGTATTCAGTTTCCTTCAGAAATTTAGGAAAGAAGAACTTCCAGGTATATAATAGCTGAGTTTGGTGGGTCTGCTTCATTGAACTCATCCAGCAAAATTGACACACTTAAGTTTCTTTCCATGTGGGTGGGTTCTCAACAAAGAAAGTCAGAGAAATCCCTTCTGATACAGTGATACTCTTTATATCCAATTAACCATCCACCATCCTTTCATTCGGTCACTTCTAAGTTCTAACCTAAATGTGGTCCGGCTTTGTTTTCCAAGAGCAGGAAAAACCAAAACAATCAATTGTTCTTCCTTAATTAGAAGAACCAGTCTGCAAGTAAAAAAGTTGAAGACCCGACCATAAGTCAGCAAGCGGTTATAAAATTATGTTCCAAGTGTGAAATAATTGCATTGATATTGAAGGCCAAGCTCTATTAATTTTGACAAGGACAAGCCATATATTTCTATTGTTAAGTTAAATGATCTGGATATGTGATAGCATGCCGAGCATATACGAAAGAACTGCATTAATATGAAGGCCAACTACTAATACTTTTTACAAGGACAAGCCAGATATTTATAATGTTTGGTTACATGATCCGGCTATGTGGTAGCATGCACAGCATAGTGCTTAAGAATTATCTCTGAAGAAACAATGATATTTCTAATGTCCTAGATTGTTGCATCTACTGATCTATAACTGGTTTGATGTGTTCCAAGTGGAAAACAGATTCCTTACAATGACAAATTTGACCCAGACTGAAGTTACTAGGTTCAGATACATTTAATCAGTACTAGTTAAAATCGGATCAGATTAACCCAGTAAACAAAATTCACGCTAAGATCAATCCAATTAAAAGCTCAGCAGGCACCATAAAATTATACTCCCAAGTGTTTACAGTAGGCACCAACCACAAGCACGATCAAATGATAACCCAATCTTAGACTCCAAGACAAGCTTCAGCATCTTTGACATATTATCAAAATGTGAATCCATATCCTTATCTTTGACATATTTATCCATAACATTTAAATTATAGAACAAAACAATATCTTTACATGTAAAATCACCAAATCTGAGGCCCAACTTTCAAAAAGCCTACCTTTTCTACCTTCTTGCATTTCCTAAATATCTGAATTTAGAAGGACAACAAGTCATTCTTCAATATTCTCTTGTTTCTCCTTCTTCTAGGTCTGCATAACACATTCTCACTCAGCCTTTGTGTCAATAGATGAAGTTCATGAAAACAAGAACTCTTCCAAAGAGAGGATGAACAACGATTGCTGCATCATTTTTATTTTATTACTTATTTCCTTATCAAAAATTGTTTGAGCTTCACTGTGTCTGGAAATAGTAATGTCATTTAATATTTAACTGTTGCATCTTTTATTATGCTAATGTTGAGTTGACATTTCACTCATCTTTCTTTCTTCTTTTTATTTTCTTTCTTTCTTCCTTCCTTTTATGAAATCCAGATTTTCTGCTGTGATGAAATTCTAGATGGTAGCAAATTCAGCCCAATTTAATCAAACGCATTTGATAACAAGAATACAGGTTGGGATTGACAAGATTGGAGATCTGGCTAGTCAAACGAACAGGTAAATCGTGTCATAAATAAATGGATCGTGCACCTGATGGAACTCCATCAATTTGACACCCTAAAAAAAAAAAAAAACTGTTGTTCCTCCAATGGATTACTGTTATGCCAGGTATAGGCTTCAGAGGAAGCCAAATCCTTTTTTTCTTCGTATAGGCGGCTAGGCTGGTATTCCTGCTCCAAATTAAAATAACCATTGTGCTTTTTTCTTTCTTTTCCCCTGGTTTTGAACCTCTAACCAATTCCTAAGTCCCAAACATGCACTCAGCCCCACTTGTTTTTCACCACCGCACATTATAGGGCAGACAAGGATTTATCTGCCTGGTCTTTTGGAATGGTCTGCTAAATGTTTTTTTATCGCACTTATTAAAGTCCTTCAAGCAATCATGAAAATTCGACATATTATAAGCGATTAAAGTTTCTATTTTACTTCATAATCTCTTAAAAGGAATTAAAATGTACATTAGTGACTAGCCCTCCAATAAAACCCCGAGTCAAAGGGTCATACTGTTTTCTTTAAACACCACACTTCAAGCATTTGAAAGAACTAAGCCCCATTCTGAAGTTCTTATGAGACCCTGTGCTCATGTTAGCGAAAAAGAAATGCTATGCCAACCTTTTTTCACTGTTCATATCCTTTGCATGACTAAATATGCATATTCATCCAGGAAACTAACTTGCTTATACATAGATGGAACGGTATGGATTATATAATAGTTGACCTGGCCTCAAATTTTTTTCACTGACACACGGTTTCTACCACCAAGTATGATTTTATGCTTTAGTGTGAATGCACCTAATGGCTGGTTGACCTGATTCATCAATGTATTATAGTGTATTGGAAACTTGTATACCAATAAATGTAATATTCTAATAAGCTGGTGAACTTAATGAGTCCAACAATATCTGAACTTTTGCAACGCTCATCACCATATACTGAAAATTTCATAAGGATGACCAACAGACAAAGTTTGGTGGCACAATCATCAAGGCATTGAATTAAAACATACTGTGTAACCCACCTAGTATTTAAAGTTGAAGGCAAAAACTTACATGCATTAAAGAACAAAAATAATGGCTCTAATGTTCTTAGCCTTCTTTAGCGAACTCATCTGATATAATTTCTATAGTCCAATGAATCGGTCCAATGTTCATATAAATAAAGCTACAGTTTTATAAATTGGCATAACCGTGGGATCCACATCTCAAATGACAGATTCCAGGCATGGGCATCAAACACTTGTGTTGTCCAACTTTTGGTCAGACAATCATAAGTCCTTGGTGAATGGCAGTTGTTCATGTTAATTTTTTCATTATTAAAAGGGCCTATTTTCCCCCCATTAAACATGTTTGAATATATGTTTTCCACAAATAAAATATCAGTATTTACTATACTCATTTTGAAAAGGGTTAATTGCGGATAGACCCCCTGCAGTATCATTGTTTTGAACCTCTAGTTTTACTTTTGCAGATAGACCCCTTGGGTAAATTTTTTTGAATTTTAACCCTCAGAGGAAGAAAATTGTTTTTTGACCAACAGACCCCCTGAGGTAAAAGAGTCAAAAGATTCACTCAACGATCTATCTGCAAAACTAAATTTAGAGGGGTAGTAAATTCAAAACAGTAATACTACGAAGGGTATGCACAATTAACCCTTTTATAAAAAGAACTCATTTGCTTTTAAAGTCCCTCAAAGTCAAAGAGTTAGTAAACCAATTAAGATGCATTTTACTCTCTTATAAACCACCCGAAAGAACTACTTGCATGAAGTTATATGTAACAGTTTACAAATGAGATTTGGAAATCATTGCATGCATGCATCCCATGCTTTGGAGTTGCTTCTTCAACCCTTCACAGTAAAATAGTCAACAACCAGGAAGCCTAAGAGAGGCAAACAAGTAATTTATTATCTTGCAGTAGGACACAGGTTTCAGGAATTGTTAATGAAGGTCTAATTATTGTATCCCACTTGAAAGATAAATTTTTGATCGCATGCATCAAATGAAAACATATGCTTCCCTTCTTTTCAATGTGCAACCATACCATCTGATTGTTGGTTGTGATGGACCTATTTGACGCAGAACGCATTTTTTGGCCATATTAACATGGTTGAACTAGTATGAAAAATCTCCTTTTACATCAAGCAAACAAATCAAGAAACACAAGACAATATGACGATGAAGGAAATAATAGTTTATGTTGGTTTAGATATATCCTAAATGGTAATTAACCAAAACAAGAATCGTTGAAAGGGGTTTAGATCCATACCAGGCTCACAATATGATTAAGAAAATATTCAAAATGTGGTCTTCCAGCGTCTATATCAATACTTAAGGGCAGGTTTTGTGGTAATCAGTAGAGTTATTAATTAGGATGGTCGAAAGGGGTTTAGATCTAAGGCCCAAGATATAATTAAAAACATATCTACAATGTGATCATCCAGCATTTTTATCAATACTAAGGGAGATTTTTAGATGGTAGTTGGGGTTGTTGGTTAGGGTAGTAGAGCCGTTTTCAAGATTGTCAAAGAAACATGTTCGTGCAAATAAGTACATGTAGGATAAATATAAATGCATTTCCCCCCCAGCAATCACCTTTAGCATTGCTAAATTGTGTGCATGTTAAAGCACCTTACATGCATCCATAACAAGCATAAAGAAATACATGCGTCTAAGCAAATATACATCAATGCGCAAGAAAACATCACCCACGTTTGATGCATATCATATGCATGCACAAGCACGTTAATATAGTATTAAAAATGAAATGAGTGTTAGCAAGATTCACATAAGAACAAACAAAATACAATTGCTGAATGAGGCTCCGAATACATTAACATCTTTCTCAAACTCACCATGGATAATAGATATGGATTTCAACATGAGCAATAATGAGACTCAGGAAGGGTGAACAAAGGACCCACATCCAGAAAATATGAAGAAAGTAAGGTGAGAACAGTAATAAGAAATAAAGGCAGATAAGTGACACTATGTTGTATGCTTTGTTCATTCATTATTCATACACAAGGTTGTTGGAGCGTTTTATTAATTTCACTTCCGTACCACTTTCATGAAATTTTCAAAGAGGCATTTAACTGTTCATATCCCATCCTATGACCTCAGTATTACTGACCCTTGCATATCATCTCTCTTTGTCAAGAGCTTAAACGAGAAGCCAAAACCCAGTTATCCTCATGGGACAAACTTGTACATAAGTAGTGGCAAGTATTTACAGCATGTTTTACCCAGTGGTAACTAGGTCTTAGCCTTTTGCAACTAAGTTAATCAACCCTTTAACTTTATATTCTCTTGCATAAAACATCCCCTTGTCTTTCTGACGAATGAAACCTAAATACATCCTAGTGCTTATCTGTCAACTCCATGGCAGACAAATCACATAATTTGATCTTATTCAAAGGCTGCAGGCTCTTTAAAAGTGAAAAGATCTAGCAAACCCTTTTCCAGTTTTCCCATGTTTGTGATGGAACCCAATTATAAAAGTAATCCATACCCCCATGTCAAATGCACCCTTAGCTCCACACACGCATTGTCAAGTTGTCTCAATCAAACTGACAATCAAAACTGATTCGAGAGCTTTCTTAAAGCTCGATTGAGATCTCCATTAATCTAGGCCTAGTAGATCGTAATACAAATTCTCCCAAATTTAAAAAAAATGAAGAAAGCATGCAGAGACTTGTAGAATTGTTGTGATGAATTTATGATGAATTTATGATGCATTTAAAGCTTCAAAGATCAAAAAGCTAACAAAGGACATACTTTCTTTTGCTGACAAAATTCAGTAGACCCTCTTTACATATTTTGTAGCTCGTCCCTCATGGAGGTTTTCATTTCTCTTGACTTTCACTCTATAGTCTATAAACATCTAATAACTAAAATCAAACATGTTAATACTATATGTATATTCCCTTATTCAAATGGTGTGTTCTGCTAGTCAGGCTCTGACACAAATTGCCTGCAAAAAACTTCAGCAGCTGACCTTCCCTCAATGAAGTAAACTGGAAGAAACTAATATGTATCTCCTTTTCAGGGCAAACACCTTTCACAATTTTAAAGCATTGTAACTGTGATGCTTGGTGGATAGTGTGTAGCTATTTGAAAAAAGAAATGATGAAAAGTTTTTATCAACAATAGACTAAGCAAAGTTCAATAAGAATTGCGCAGACTTGGTCAATGCAATTGTCGATGAAGGAAAACTAAAATATGAAAAATTACTTCTGCTCGGGTCCCGGAATCAGATTTTATGTAAGTCCCTGCTACTACAAAAAATTTCTAATTTCTGCACCATATTACCTTTTTTGTCAAAGTCAACCGAATCATTCTTGGTTTATGTCAATCAGTTAGGTTTCGTTTTGGTTGGTTTAGGTTAGGTACGGAGTGTCAGCAAACTCAATATTTGTTTAAATTAGGTGATTGTCATGTAACTTCAGCCATGATTTATTTTTTTCTTTATCCTCCAATGGACAACTAAGTGCGTCAAACTTTCAGCTTTAAAAGAGTTGTTAAGTTAATATATAAGAAGAATATTCTGATGTTAGAGGACCAAAGAAAAAAATACTTATCTATTTTCTCTTTGCTTAGTCTTCCTGGACTGTTGATACTTGATACATTTAACTAATAAGAAGAGAGACTTAATTGCAAATTGTGGAATTTGCCTATATGTATCATTTCTTCAATACAGTTTCATGAAACCCACAAATCAAAAACTATCATATCCACATCAAATCATGTTTCCTATAGTTCATTTACCCTTAAGTCCTTGTAGCTACACTAACAATGATCTTATCAATCCTCCTAAGTTGTTGTGTTATGTCTAATCCATCTCAATCAGTCCTTCCTCATTTCCATTTTCAATTAAAATTAAACCATTCCGAATGAACTTGATTATCAGGATATCCTTTTAGCATATTGCCACCCAACCCATCTCAATTACATCTATAAATAAATTATAATTATTGTAGATGTAGCCAACATTATTAACTCCTTCAAACAGGGCCCTTCAGGTAACAGGCCCTAAGGTTTGGTACCAAAGATAAGTGTAGGCAAGTGAGGGAAATTTCCAAAATCCTGAAATTTACTTTTTATGTTGTTGTTTTTCCCCCATTAGAATATTATAAAAATCTTATCATAACCAATTATAACTAATAATACTGTATTTAGTAGCCCATTATGAACCTAGTAAATTTGATTCTCTCCTTAGTTGTGTTATCATTCACAGTGACGTAAAACAAGCAAGATAAAATAGAAAAGAGAGAAAACGTCAATTTTACCCAAAGAAAATTTGCTTATCGTAATAGTATTAGCTTCAAATTAGGACCGTTAAAAATGAAGGAGTGCTTCTAAAGTGTAGTGTGATCATTGAAAGCTGAAGGGAAAATTCTCTAGGACAACTTCAAGACCAATAATGTTTTATGATTCTGAAAGTTAGGTTCAATAAAAATAAGAATGCTACAATGTATGCATGATATACATTATGAGATATGATAAGAAACAAGCGCACTCATAAGAAGTTAGCATTTGCTCTTGTTGATATAAAACAAGAGAATTTATGGAGATGGTTTTGCCATGTACAACAGAGACAAACTAAATTGTCTCTAGATGCACATATAGTGAGAAGAAATAAAATTATAACTGATATCGCAAGGTGGAGCAGAATTGCGCTTCAGAAACTTGGCCGGAAACAATTAAGGAGGGCACGGATGTGGTTAACTTATTTGAGGAGACAGCCCTTAACAAATTAAATTGCAGAATAACAGTCGTGTAGCTGAAGGCAAAATCTTGGCATAAAGGTTCTGTTGTTGTTGTTGTTGTTCAAACTACAAACATGTGTTAACATTAGGATTTTGGACTGGTAAGGTAGGAATTTGCTTGTGTGGTTCCTTTTCGAGAATAGATATGTAAACCTTTTCCCAGTTAACTAGTATTTTCTTACACAGACATTAGTCGTAGGTTATTGCATTCTACATTCTACCTTCACTTAATCAAACTAAAACCGTACCTCCTTAAGAGTGAAGCGGTCGTTGAACACAAGCGCGAGGGCCAAGCACCCAGCAATCAGAAAGTAATGCCGAAACGTGTCCTGGTCCTTATCGTAGCTTCTCCTCACCACCGGATGCCTCCTCATGCACCAGGCGATCGCGACCGAGCTCGAAATGAACACCACCTTCATCACCGAATTGTACACCGATATGAAATCGGTGAACAGATCCAAGTACCTCGTCACAAACACCAATG